TTTAAACATATGCAGCTCATAACAGAGGGCCCAATAGAATAAAAAGAGTATTTCTCTCTAGTTCTCTTGCTATCATTGTCTGGCTGCCTGCTCAGGGGCTTCTTACTTTGATGTTTTTCAGTACTGTAGGACTGTGACACCTCCACTAAATAGGACATAGGCTTGCTTATACCTACTCATGCTTCTGACTGGTTAGAAATGTCTATTAATCCTCCTAAATGTGAGTATTGACACGAGTCATATTGCATTCATACATGCATGGGGCCCTGTAGTAGAAGAGTCAGTGCAGGAAGGGTTAATATCCCCCTTACAGCCCTGTCCTGAGCACCTGAGATCTGGGAGTGTGGATGGGGAGGTGGCACAAACAGGAAAGGTGCATTCTGGCCCCATGAAGCCTTTCTGTGTTGCCTCACCTAAAGGAGGAGCCATCAATGTTTTAATAGGGGCTCAGTGCCATTTCGGGGCAGTCTCTCAGTTGGGGCTGAGCATCCTCTACCTGCAGAGAACGGAGATGCTCCAGCTCACTTCTTCAGCTACCTTAAGAGATACTCTGAATGCAAAGGAAGTTATCTGACAGCTTGTTTCAGCAAACAAAATCATTGTTATTGCCAAATGCTTTCCTCCTGGCTTGCCTTGGGGTGGGCAGGCGGGGGGACACCCGGAGCTAATTAGAAACAGGTATTTGTCTGCAGGTAACGCTTCCAGACAGAAGCCCTTTTGCATCTCACAGAGTCCACGCAATCTGCAACATCTGAACAAGCCCCATGGGGAAAGAGATTAATTTTTCACACCTGTTTCTCCAAATTTAATAATAATAAAAAATTCCATGGAAGCTCAAGAAGGCAACATTCCAGTAACATTTCGCTTTTACTGACTGAAATTTCCCGTAAGATGGGCCTCTGGGTATAGAATGGAAAATCTTTCCTCACTCACTTCCACCTCAGTACTGGGTGGACGTATAGAGTCTGGTTGCTTTTTTATTCTTGCCAGGGCTGCTGCAGTAGCTCTGTGCTTGTTAGTCCCGGGTGCCATGAAGTCAGAGCCGCGAGTCTCCCCGTCGCAGTAGGCGGTGGGGGTTGGTTTGGTTTTGGGCTTTTTTTTGGGGGGGAGGGCTGGGGTGGGGAACAGTGGCATAGGAGGAGAGAGGAAAATTAATCTTTAACTTTCAGGTCTGTTTTATAGGATAAAACATGAAATCACTCTTCTGTTTGACGGTTTAGAATGCAAGACATCCAAACAGCTCTGAAGACAACAAAACCACAAAATACTACCAAATACACTGATTTCAAGAGGCTATGGGACAGCCCAGTAGGAAAATAGTGGGATCCTACTCAGGAACAAGGATGCTCATAAGGATAAAACTTACTACCTAGGCCTTTCTGATCATGTTTCTTTCTGAATATATCTTCTCTCAGCTGGCCTTTCCCAGGCTCCATTGACTCACACATCATTTTCAGGATTTTTTCCTTTTTGCTGCTTCACAAGCACAGCACTACTGGGAAGATTTGGGCCATCCTACACATTTAGGAAAGGATGGGAGAATTCCTGACCCTGAAATTCTGAATCACTATTTTAAAATCATTTTTGGAGACCATAGGAAGTAAAGTTTTTTTGCTCACCGAACTACTTAAATTTTCTTTGCTGTGGCTTTCATACATAACATTGACCCCATGTGTATATTCTCCTGTGTCTAATAATATCACTGAGTTCATGCCAAGCCCCCTTCCTCAGCAGAAGGCACAAATTTTAGTTATTTCTAAATAGATGCTGATGAAAAAAAAAAAAAAAAAGAAATCAAACAATGCTCCTCACCCCCCCCAAAAAAATTCCCAAAACCTCACAGAAGTTTTTACAAATTATTTTTCCAGCAAACACATGTTGCTTCTCCAACCAATTATGGAAGTGTTCAAAAAACAGAGATCAAAAGCTTCAGTAAAATCAGTGATGAGTCTGTATCAGCCATTTATGAACACTAATTTCCAGTTTCTGTGTTAATTTTTTTACATGCTGTGTTTCACAGCAGTCATTCCCTAAGAGAAGAAATGAGACTCTATCAGATAGAGGGACATAAATGTTGACTAATCCCTGGTAAAAGCATCAGATCCTCTTTGACTGCTGATTTCATAAAAGTAAATCTTATTCTGGACATCTCAGTCTCACAGGCAATAGGGTTACTGTATATAGCCACTAAAAAGTTTCCAAATTTTGTGTAATTCTCAGAATATTCTCATGATGGTCCTGATACCAGCTTACATCAGCTCTATAGTCCTGTGAAATTCAATTAAAACGTGTACTCAAGGCCAAAACATGAATGTGAGATGTAAGACAATTTTTCCAATAAAATCTGTTAGGCACTCAGAAGAAGATGGTTCCCCATTAAATGAACCCTTCACTGTCTTTTACTTCAGTAGTTATTTTACAGACATTTGCTAAACATTTTATTTTATTGTCCACACCTGCAAGTCTAAAGATAGTTAAATACTGTGTGTAAACTGTGGAAAGCAACTTGCAGGATTTGTTTTTGGAGCATTTGCAAATACTAGCTTTTCTGCCAACAGTTGTTAAATCAAAATTTAAACTAAATTTTTCTCCAATAATTCTCCACCCACTTACCTGACTTCAAAAAAATATGCCATATGAGATGAGTTTCAGGTAAAAAATATGTCATATGAGTTCAGGCCTGTTCTTGTTTTATCTTTTTGGAATCACCCATCCTTAATCATACTCAGTTGCAAACATTGAATGATACACTGAGTCACAAGCAAATGATAACATGAAAGAACAGGGAGAAAGTATTTTAATCAGAAAGACAGCTTTAGGTTGTGATCTCTAACAAGCAGGACTGAAACTGAATTCTGTGCCCTGTGGTATCCTCTTTCATTAGATAAATGTTGATAGCATTTGATTTTTTTACATGAAAGGAACAGGGAGAAACTAAATGAACACTGAACATTTTCATGCACTTACAAGCTCGTATTAGAGATGAAATTCAAAGACACAGAGAAGATTATAACATATAGACAAATCTAGGAATATCTTGATATTTACAAAGCATAAAAGTGACCAACTAATATATATATATATTTAGTATTAGTGAATTGCAAAAAATATGCTCATTATTACCTTGGGACAAAATTTCTACAACATAGGTAATTAGACTTACAGTTCCAATTTAATACCTGTGCTGGTTCACCCAGTCCTACTACTTTGTAGAAACATATTTGAGAGAGTAAAAGCTGCCCTGAAAGTGAAGACATGAACATAGGGGGAAGTAACACTAGCGCAGCCTGGGAAGTCTTCTGCTACACACATAGAGCAGCCAACTTCAGTAACATGCGGGTGGGAATGCAGTGAGCCACTGGAATATAACTGACAAAACATAAATGGTCAGGTGATACTGCTTTGGGGCAAGGATACAGGTATTTGATTTGAACAAGTTTAGGAGCCAGAAATATTCAGTGCCCATGGCTCGAAGGAAGCATATTTCTCAAAGAAAACTGATGTTAGAGTAGGATGGTGCTCAAAAGCAGCACCCAAGAGCACAGCATGGAGACAGCCAAGCCAGACAGCTTGAGAAACGGTACCGAGTTAGTCACAATGAAATGCATCCTGCTGAAGACAGCTTATTTTACTTAATGTTAAGAGGAACATGAAAAATCAAGATTTAAAGAGACACTCTAATATCCCAGGGTTGATCCTTAAGGGGACATGACTTTAAAGATGCTCCATCCTTTCAGCTGATACTTTTAGTTTAAGTAATTTCCAGAGACATTTTAATACTTCTGCAATGAATATACTTTCCCTACATTTTCTGTCTTTTGAGACCACATTCACAATATTTCACTGGTACAGAACCAAGTCCACAGTACTGCCTTTACATCTGCATTACCCTGATTCCTTTATGACTGTAGCCAAGTACAGGTCAGTTAATTCTAGTTTACATTGAGTACTATTCTCTCAATCTTGCTAAAACTTTGTCTCTT